GGGAATAATGTCCGCGATCAAGAAGGTTATTCTGGCAAAGAAATATATACAAGATGTCCCGATTATAACGAAAAACAATATTTGGGATTTCTTGGACGGGGCAGCAAGGGTCGAAATGGAGGAACTCAAGGTACAAATAGCGGGGAAGAAACCCCAAGGTGGTAGCAACTGGCCCAATGCAGCTGTAGAATCGCCATGAGTTATGTACTTTGGAACTACTATGGTCCTGGGTCAGACACGGTGGTTAGGGCTCTTCATGGGATGATAACGAAACACAGACCCTCTATGGTATTTCTATATGAAACAAAAATGAAATGCCATAAAATAGAAGGAATAAGAAGGAGATTGGGATTTAACAGGGGATTTAATGTCCCTCCAGTGGGTGTTGCAGGGGGGTTGAGCTTATGGTGGCACGAGTAAACCGAAATGCAGATTTTATTTGCAACAAAAAACATTATTCATTCCACGATACGGGGTGCAGATGGAGGGGAATGGATCCATGCATCCTGGATATACGGCACCCCGTATAGAGCTGAGAAACAAGATTTTTGGAGTTAGTTGTCGTCCGTATTGACCCCATTAGGGAGCCCTTGGTTTTGTGGGGGTGACATGAACGAGATCCTGTGGGAGTTTGAAAAGCAGGGCAGGAGCAAAGATTTTCACACAAGACCTTAGTTCTTTCACGAGTTTATGTCGAATATCGAACTCATTGATCTCGGGTTTAGTGGACCAAAATTTACGTGGAAAGGGAATAGAAGCAATGGCGTTGTGCAAGAAAGGTTAGATAAGGGGCTAATTGTCACATCTTAACTCCGCCGAAGCACGATATTGTCCGCTTTGGGCCACATTATCATGGATTTGTTCCCAGGCAAAAGAACCTCACTACCCAAAACTCGTCATGCTAGGAAAAGAGGGGCATGTACATATAAGGCCAGGGACCAGGCCTCACCCCACCGATGTGGGATACTACAATCCACCCCCTTAGAGAGACCGACGTCCTCGTCGGCACATCCAAACGGACGGTGAGTCTAGCTCTGATACCAAATTGTCACATCCCGACTCCGTCGTAGTATGATATTTTCCGCTTTGGGCACGCCCTCACGGATTTGTTCCTGGGCAAGAGAACCTCACTACCCAAAACGTGTCATGCTAGGAAGATAGGGGCATGTACATATAAGGCCAGGGACCAACCCTCACCTAGCCGATGTGGGATACTACACTAGTAAATGGCAGCTGGCAAGTCCGATGGCCAGAGACGTTTGTCAGTCATGGTAATGTGAGGGGGTCTGATCACTGCCCAATCATTGTTTGTACTGAGCTTACTCCGGAAATGTGGAAAAAGATTTTCAGGTTTAAGGTGTTTTGGACCAAGGAGAAGGGGTGTATAGAGGTGGTAGAACAAAGTTGGGTTAGGATAGGTGAAGGCAGTAGGGTTGAGAGATGGTTGCGCCATCAGAACTTATGTAGGGGGAACCTCAACAGGTGGAGTAAGAGTAGATTTAGGAGTGCTCGTGAGGAAATTGAAACTATGTCAACTTGATTGGGAAATCTTCAATGTCAGTGGAAAGAGAACTAGGAAGAGATTCAAGCCATTGTTGCTGTTATTGAGAGGCTAGAGGAATGAGATGAATTAATCTGGCGGCAACGATCCCGCATTAAATGGCTCAAAGAATGCGATTCAAACTCTCGTTTCTTTCACCAAACCACAATTTAGTGAGACGTTTTAATAAAATTGTTAAGCTGCAAGATGGGAGGGGCTGTGACAAAAGGATAATGAGGGAATCAAACAGGTGATAAACGACCATTTCACTGTTTACGTCAGGGGGCAGAAGGGAGTGGGGAAAGGTCCTTAACTACATCCATGCCTCGGTCTCAGAGGAAATGAATGATCATCTCTGTGAACTATTCACTTTGTCTGAGATTAAGGATGTGGCTTTCCAAATGGGTGGGATGCAGGCTCCTAGCCCAGATGGTTTCCAAGAGGTATTTATCAGTCCTTTTGGGATATTATTGAGGAAGAGGTGAATGGGTTGGTGGAGGATTTTGCAACTAGAAGTGAGGTCCCGAGGAAGTTAAACTCCACTAACACTATTCTCATCCTAAAAATAGCGAACCCCTCTTCGGTGAGTCAATTTAGGCCAATAAGTTTATGTAATTACTCTTATAAAATCTTTTCTAAATTGCTAGCCAATAGATTAAAGCATTGGTTACCTAGACTCATCTCCCCGACCCAAAACGCGTTTGTGAAGAGCCGGCAGATCTAGGACAATATATTGGTGGCCCATGAGGTGTTCCACTTTCTAAAGCTTCGAAAGATGAAAACCAAATTTGAGCTTGCTATGAAGATTGATATGAACAAGGCATATGATAGGATTGAGTGGGATTTCTTTGAGGCGTTTATGATTCGAATGAGTTTTAGTGGGAGATGGATAAAGGTGGTAATTGGGATGTGTCTCCACTGTGGACTTCTCAATTCTAGTGAATGGACAACCAGGGAGAAAGTTTAAGTTGTCCCGAGGGCTTCAACAGGGCGATCCCCTATCTTCATACCTCTTCCTCATCATCAAGGATGTTCTCTCAAGGCTAATCAATAGTGTGGTGGAAGGTGGTTTTATTGAAGGTATTCGATTAAGCATGCATGGGCCGTGTTTTTCCCATCTATTATTTGCAGACGATACCTTTATCTTCCTTCATGCAACACCGCTCAATTGTCCAAACATCACCCACCTCCTTAAGGCCTACTGCACTGCCTCGAGCTAGGAAAGTAACATGTAGCAATCGTCAGTTTTCTTTGGTGCCAACACCCCAAGGAAGCTCCGAAACGAGTTGGTGAACATCTTGGGTATACCGCAAGTTATGGATCTAGGAAACTATTAAGGAATCCCAACTGTGTGGGGAAGATCGAAGCTAGAGGCACTGGCTTTTGTTAAAGATAAGGTTCTAGCGAAGATTCAGGGGTGGAAACAGGGTTTCTTATCATAGGCCGGTAGGGAAGTTCTGATAAAAGCAATGACTCAGGCAATCCTTGCCTACCCAATGAACATATTTTGTTTCTCGGACAATATTTGTAATGATATTGATGTGGCGGTGGCCAAATTTTGGTGGGCACAAAGGGACGGGGAGAGAAAAATACATTGGGTGAGCTGCAAAAATTTATGCATGTCGAAGCAAGGGGGCGACATAGGCTTCTACAACTTAAAGGAGTTCAACTTGGCACTATTGGCCAAGCAATGTTGGCGTCTTATTCAGTCCCCGGACTCCTTTTGGGCCCAAGTAATCAAGCAACACTACTTCTCGGATTGCTCATTCTTTGAGGCTCGAAAGGGGGGCCGATCGTCCTAGGCTTGGGCTAGCATGTTGATAAGAAGGAACATTATCACTCAAGGTGCGCACTGGCATATTTTGAATGGAGAAAATACACGGGTGTGGGCTGATCGGTGGATCCCAGCTTTGTAGTCGGGGCATCCTACCCTTGCTCAGAGGGTTATGGAGAACCCTGACTTGAGAGTCTCAAATTTAATCTATTCGTCTACCCGGTCCTGGCTTCATGTTGTTATCGATAGGGAGGCCTCGATTGATGATCATCAGGCAATCCTCGATACGCCAATTAGCGGGGCTGACTGCATGGATAGGATAGTTTGGCCAATGAATAGAATGGGGCATTATACTGTAAAATCTGGATGCCATTGGATCCACGCAGCAAACCGCCGTGCCAGCAACTATCGGCCCTGCATACGAAGCTTAGGGGTTTCAAAAAATAAAGAACTTTATGTGGCGGGCACTAAGGGGGGGCGACAACTACTAAGAGAGATTATGTAGACAGTGATATGTGTCCTCGCCTTTGTGCCCTTTTGTGGTGAACATGAGGAGACGATCGAACATGAACTGATTATATGCCCATGGGTGGATCATGTGTGGTTTTGTGGCCCATTGGGTATAAGGGTGGATAAAAGTAGGGTAACCTCTTTTCATTCATGGTTGGTTTCAATCTAGCGGAGTTTACCTGGGGGTGGGGAGGTTAGAAGGGAAACCATGTCGTATATAGCCTTTGCGTGCTGGGAAATATAGAAGGCAAGATGCCGGGGGGATGGGGGTTTTCAAGTCTCAGTTCCTTTCCTAACCCGTACTGTTAGAGCTATTGCAACGGCTCACTCCGATTTTCGGGAGGCATATCCTAAGGTTCGAGTTCAACGAAGTCCTAGGGGGGCTAATGAGTGTGGTTGGGAACCACCCCCATCTGGGATCATAAAGGCAAACGTGGATGCTAGCGGGAAGAGGGCAGATGGTTTCTACCATATTGGGTTGGTGATTCGTGGTTCTGATTCCCGGTGCTTGGTGGTTAGGAGGAGAATGATCAGAGCAGTGAATGCCCAAATGGCGGAATCATAGGGAGTGTTGGATGGGTGTTCCATGGCATGGCAGCGGGGGTTCTCCCGCATTGTGATTGAGTCGAACTTAAAAGGGATCATTGATTGGCTGAACGGGTGTATTGAGTCAAGGGCGTGGGAGTTATTCCCTGTTCTTTGTAAGATGAGGTGTGAAGGTGAAACTTTTGATTCATGTGACTGGGTTCCAAGATCAGCCAACGAAGCGACGGATTAAGTGGCATTCGCATGCTGGGGCGGAGATGTGTGACTTTGTCTGGGTCCATAAACCCCTATCTTCGTTTGTTTGTATCCTGAACAAAGATGGTCTTCCTTGTCCTCCGTCCACTTTGTAGCTTAGTTTGAAGATGTAAGGGTAACATGTTGGTTCTGTGTTGCATTCTTTTGTAATGTTGTTAGCCTATGTGGCTTTTTGTTTCTCTTCTTGGCTCCAGCCCTAGTTAACGATATTTTCCAGTTCTCCAAAAAAAAAAAAAAATGTGCCATTTTGTTGATGAAGCGTTGTCAAGGCCTAGCCCACATTTTGAAAGATTGGAAGGTATAAAAAGTTATACAGTATCCAATGGTCGAGCAAAACAAAAAAGGAAATTACAAGACCAATGCAAAACCAATAAATAGATAAAAGTTATAAATAAATAAAGCTTTAATTACAGCCATTTACTACTACGATCTAATAATATTCATCTTCATTTATAAGTAAGAGATCTTAGATTCGATTCTAGCTAAAGACGAATTTGAACCACAGTATTATGGCTCGTCCATTGTGAGTCTTAACCTACTCGCCCACCTCTTAGTGTAAAGGTTCAACTCCACGGTTAAAATATACAACTACGTTTATAAAATATATGAATCTAACTATAACCTCCAACGAGACTATATGAGATAATATAGAGCCTTCAATCCCCCTATCTGGTTTTCTATGCTAATAGTCTATCACACACTATTGTACATTCCCTTTGTTTTTTGCTAGTTTTTCACCACCACTAAAAACTCTCACCCACTAACAAGTACCACATCACGTACTCCAATTAAATTGCGTACACAATTTCCCCGCTGCTATCAACATCAAGTTCAGACTCTGAGTCTAAGTCGTCCATATCATCGTCCATGTCAAGGTTGTCTGTCATGTAAGAGCTCAGACCAAGGGTTCCGGCTGCTGGTATAGTAGCCTCCTCAATTATATGCATGATTGCGTCAAGGCTTTGCATTGGTTGATCTGGCTCTTCAAACTGGTTGCTCTCGTCCATCAAATCAGCAGGGAGATTCTTCAAGAACCACGAGTGGCTCTTTATCTCAGGAATGCTAATTCTCTGTTACACGCATGCACATCCGTAAGTACCCGCACAATAAAACAACAAATAAAGGAAAAGAAAAAAGCAGATTCTTATGTTCTCGACAAATAGAATCCCCCAAAAGCAACAACTTTCAAAAGTAACAAGTCCATTTATTCCTCCAGTTCTTGCGTTAAGTGCTCAGTAATGGGAAATTGGAGAACTGTTCAAAGCTTCCATGAAAAACAAAGGGCCTCAAAAACACCCTGGAATAAAAGCAGTGAAGCGACAGGAAATTCAAGGAATCGTCTAAAAAACCAAGAAATTCAAGGAAGTATACAAGCAAACCCCAGCGTACACACACACAAATGCCCTTTGTGAGGCTTTCCAAGGAACATCATAAGTAGTTAGATATTACCTTTCCTTTTGGAATAAGATTATCATACTTGGTTATACTGTAATAAGGAATCTAATTATATTGGCTGGCTCAAATTAATACAAATGGGAAAGTAGTAATTTAATTTGGCTTTCTTTCCCACAATTACCCTTCAATGTCGTCCCATTATATTGAAAGATTATAAGAGTAAGTAGCCTCAATCATATGTTCCAGGTGGTTAAGGCCACCTTCCTCCTATGAATCTTATTCCAAATCGCTTTTCTGTCTTTGACCTTAAAAATAGTATCTCAAGTCTATAAAAAGACAGTATGCTATTTGAACAATTTACGTTCCCTGGTGGGCTTAACAGAAGCATTATTAACTCTAATCATTTACATAAATGCAAAGAACAAAACAAAAGGTGCAGCAACAGAAGAAGAGGTCAAAAGAAATACGTGTGTGTGTGTGTGTGTGCACATGTGAACCGAGACAATTTTGAGAACCATAAGCACCCAAGTTCTTTTTCTTTTTGGAAAAAAAAAAAAAAAAAAGAGCCAAATAGAGTGCAACATATATCTCAAGCTAAAGTGTAGAAGAAAAAACAAGAGTTCAGAGGAAAAATATACTAACCGCAGCAGGATCTGGGACAAAAATTCTCGATATCAGCTCTAGACATTCATGAGATATTTGAACAGTATCTGGAATGGAATACTGGACGCTGAGTATCCTCTGCAGGAAGATAATAACAATCCCGAGTGAGGCAATTTACGTTAACAAATTTTATGTTGTGCTAAGGCGAAATGACATACTTGTATGGTCCTCCGGAAATCTTTCGGTTCATCAGGATCCTCGAAAGGATATGCTCCCACCAGCATCACATATAAGGTTACCCCACATGACCATACATCTGCAATCTGATGTTGTAACACACTTTCAACATACAAACTTCTCAATTCAATAAACAGGATTACATTATTTGGAACTAATAAAAACTTCAACTTCATGATATGGAAAGGAAAGACAAAACTGGTTTAAAAAATATTAAATGCAAGAAAAAGTGTTTGTATGTCTGGTTTCATGCTCCAAGTCCAGAAATGAGCTGTAAAGCCAATACAGATAAAATTAGCTGATGCATATAAGCAGGCCCAAAATGAAGTTAGAGGATGCATATAGGCAAGCATAAAGTGAAGTCAGTACCTATCACACGCTTTATCTCTAAAGGCATAAAAGCAAAAAATGAAAACTCATGAATAATTATCCAACATGAAGAGATAATGAGTCCCAACTTTATCATTTACTTGTCATAGAAAATAACTTTAACATCCACACGCGACATTACAACAGTAAATCTCTGGCTGTCAAGTGCAGTTACACCCCTTGATTCTTGAGAACTAACAATTCATGGAAAAAGAATAACTTTAGGAACTTAGGGCTACAAGGTAATTGCTCTTTTTTCTTTTATTTTTTTGGTCAAGCAAATGTTCAGCTGCAGTTCAAACTTGAACGAGCCAGCAAAAGTATTTCATATTTTGAAGTGACCATGAACTTATTCATTGTGCTAAAATGTTACTTGGAATTCAAACGCAAAGCTTGAATGGTGAAAGAATATAATAGACAGAGAAATCTTAGGGGATTTTCAAATTACAGTTTGTCAAAGTTCAAACAACTTTGATGGGAAAGCATAGAAAGTACTAGCCAATAACATTTGCTATAATTCAGCTTCATGAAATACTCCAGAACAGAATGCTAACCAATTATTAAACAAAACTTCTTGGCCCAAACAATCAGGGATATCCATACAGTAAATTAAAACCAATGGCATTATAATTTGATAAATGATTAACCAAACTAAGGAATTCTTATACCTTTCCATCATATTCTTGCCTCAGTAATACTTCTGGAGCAATGTATGCAGGAGTTCCCACAGTAGATTTTGGTTGTGAATGAAGCACTGAAGACTGACAAATAACCACAATCAGATATAGAACGCTACGACCCAATATAGCATACAATGAACTTAAAATAAATTGACTCTTGACCATTCAAACAGGTACCCGAGCAGAGTCAGAGGACCAACACCTTACTACCAACTAGGCTACATAACTATACTAGAAACCATATCATTGATGAAATTGTTCTTAACTTGAGAGACCAAATCCTTCTTAAATTATCTATAAACAAGTCTCTGAAACAAAAACCTTGGGTCTTGGGTCAAACTAGCCTAAGATCAAATCAAAATTCAAGAAAACAGATATGCAACAATCTTAGAACAAAAGCTCTAGATCAGAAGTTCATTTCAAGTTAGCCTTGACAGTTCCCCTTATTTTAATTAATGATATGAACACAAATGCATAAGCCGAATAAGCAAGAAAGCAAAACATTACTAGTACCTTTGAGTACCCAAAATCACATATTTTCAAACGAGGAGCTGGACTGCCATCCAACAAAGTGTTCTCCAACTTCAAGTCTCGGTGACATACTTGCTTCAACAGGCAAAGTAGTAATTCAAATCAATTATCTAGTCCGCATCCAGGAAAAATACATGAAGTCTTAAAATGGTCAAAAAAGAAAGACTTGAATACCATAGCATGGCAATAACTAACTCCAGATATAAGTTGTTGAAAAAAGAAGCGGGCCTGGACCAAAAATGAAAACACATCTTCAGCATGTAAAGTAAAACAGTAAAAGAAACCGAAAGATAGGGAGGAATTATAGAGATTGAACTGAGGACCTCATCCTCACTGAACCGCCCTGCATTGCATATTCGCTCAAACATTTCTCCTCCCGAAGCATATTCCATCACAATGGCCAGATGGGTAGGAGTCAGAATGACCTATATGCATAGTAAAATCCAGAGTAGATTAGCAACCAATTAGCCTAACATCACTAGGAAGACGGAAATCCAAATCTTATCGTCAACACACGTCTAAACTAACCTCCTTGAATCTAATGATGTTCGGGTGCCTCAAAGACCTATGATTTATTATCTCTCTTCGAACATTTTCATCAATCTACAACACCGAAAACCATGGTGAGAAACAGATGCTCCAAAATCTCACCACTCAATCATCACCAAAAGAGCTATAAATCGTTAGAAGCAAACTTGCAAGTCTAATCACACTAAATAATTCAATATCTTTTTTAACCCAGCTCTCCATGCTTTAATTTGAATTAATCAAAATACCATCTTTTCTTTTCAAACACTTAATAATCATTCATTAATTAATGCAAACAACATCAACTACAAGATTAGATTACGAAATTTAGAAACTAAAAACTTGAAAAAAAATGGTAAAACCGCGGCAAAAATTTATCCAAATCGATCAAATTACTAAATTTTGAAACTAAAAACTTGAAAATAGCTATCCGATATTTCCATAAATGGATGATTTAAAATATAAAAAAATAGTTAAAACCACCGATAAAAAAAAAAACAACTGAATTCCAATACTGACCTTGTCGCCGCGCTCGATGTACTTGACGGCGACGAGCTCGCTGGTCTGCCTGTCGGTCATCAGCCTGGCGACCCCGAAGTTTCCGGACCCGATATCTCGGACGAAATCGTACCGGTCGCTGTCGTGCATGATCGGCATATCCATGGCCGGCCCAACCGTCATTGCCTGCCGATGCATTTCGATGAAATCACGAGTTTGCCCCTCGACTAGAGCCGGTCACATTAGAGAGCGAAGAATCGGGAGAGTAAACGGCGTCGTTCTCAGCTTCAGATTCTAGTTAACCGCAATCAACAGCTGAACTCAGCGAGCAGATCGGTGGCTCAGTTCAATAAGATCCGTTGCGATTCGGCGGAGCCGTCGTCGAGTGAATTTTCCCGTCGACGGTGAATTGCTGTCTGAGGAAATAGTGAAGGAGATGACTTGGGAGCGAGGGAAACGGTGTTGGCGATGAGATTAGAAAGTCCATGCAAGGAGAAGTGGCGGGTGAAGTGATACAGGCTTCTTAATACGACGCCGGTTTGAGGGTGGAGGTTGCTTAGTTGCTTTCCTAGCCGCATGGGTTCCCTCACTTTCCTGGCGGCTGGTTGGTTGGTGTGCACGTCTGCTTTTGTCGATTGTGATTGGCTCCGGCTTCCGCTGAATGACCAAAATGCCCATGTTTCGGATAACTCTGCTGCTGGTGAAGATCCAATGCTTCGCGGCACGGGTTAAGAAAAGGTTGGACAGAGATCGAACGACGGGTGTTTAGTCTTGGGTCTAGCGAGAGCCAATCAAGTGAAAGGGGTGAGTAATCGTGTGAAAGCACGCCAATCATATTGAAAGAATGGAGGATATTCGGTGGAATCTAAGGCAGCTTCTGATGATGTCGTCATTAGATACCAACCGATCACAAAACGATCAGACCCTAAAAGAGATGCAAGCTGGGTTACTTAATAAACTCTTACATTTGTATTACAGTTTAGTTATACACCAGAAAGGTTGTCCGCGCGATGCTGCGGGGGTTTAGCAATCGTATGATCCATGTAGATAGTTTTAGATATATATTTACATGTAAAAATATATTTAAACCCTAAGGTCCTGTTTGGCACACCGTATAAGGTACCGGATAGGACTAATAATACGGTGTATCGTGTTTGGTGACCGTTTGGATTAAATAGGCACCGGATTAAATAATCCGGGCCCACCTTTTTTACCCGACACTTACCCGCTTACTAATACCGTGCAAATGCACAGTACAACTTAGTCGGGCTTCGGTTGGAGAGACTAGTCTTCCGCGCCCTCTCTTCCTCTACAGGCGCTCTCCAGGTGCTCTCCAGGCGCTCTCTCTTCCTCTCATCCCAGGTTCGTCTTCTCAACTTCTTCTTCTTCATTTGAATCACAGTTCGTCTTTTCAGATTTCTTCTTCTAGGACTCCGCCCCTCCCTCTATTCTTCCCCCTCCTCCTATTTTTCTTGCAATTTTCTTTCAATTGATTGAATCTAGTTATCATTCTCTCTAATTATGCAATTGATTATGTAATTTTGTGTTTTAATTAGAATTTTTGAATTTTAGGGTTTGCTATTGGGGTCGAATTTAGGGTTTGTTGTTGGTGTTGAACTTACAATTTTAACTCTCTGTGTGTGTGTGTGTGAAAAATTTCGAACTGGGGTTGTTGAATTGTTGATTGGCATTTATTCCACTTTGTAAAGTAATTACCTTAGAGAGAGAGAGAGAGAGAGAGAGAGAGAGAGAGAGAGAGAGAGTGTGTGTGTGTGTGTCTCTCTCTCTTTCTCTCTATGTGTGTCTCTGTGTGTGTGTGCGCCCGCGCGCGTGCACGCTTGCAATGCAAGAGAAAACCAAGGGCAGCGTGTGCAACTTGTGTGTGTGTTTGTGTGTGTGCGCGCACATGTGCTTGCAATGCAAGAGAAAACCAAGGGCAGCGTGCACAGCTTATTCCATTCAAAGGTGTGCGAAAAGAATAGGCAAGCTTGGGGCTCCCTGGGTTTTCTAGATTGGACACAGATATTATACCGTGGGGCACGAAATCCTTATTCCTCTGTCTGTGTGTGTGTGTGTGTGAAAAATTTCGACATTTTTTGGATTATTTGCCTATGACATATTTTGGTAGGACTTATTATCTGCCTATGACATTTTTTGGTAGGACTTATTAACATGCTCCCTTCCGTTTTCAGTGTTATTATGCATTCATGTTCCAGTTACTTAATTTTTTGCCACTATCTAATAATGTTATTTTTTGCAACTCCTACTGAGATGATGAATGAGCCCGAGCACATTAATGAAGATGAAGATGAGGCGGAGACTAGTTCTCCCTTTGTTGCTTGATGGTCCAGTAGTTCAAGTACCTGGAAAAGGAAGAGAGCTACTAATGATAATGATCTTGTTGTGGCATTTAAAGAAATGCTTTCTGAATCAGTTGATAAGTTGAGTGAAGTTTTACAAGTTGTTTTTGGGAAAGTATTGGATTCAAAACCTGAGATTGTTTCATAATTGTCAAAGATGGATTTGTCTGTTAAGGATCAAATCAAGGCACTAAATATCCTTTTCGAAAAGTCATAGAATGAGAGGACATTCTTATCTTTGGATGATGCAATGAAAAAAGCCTTTGTACTCATGTTACTTGGACAAAGTAACCCCAATTGACATTTCAAACCAACAACAATATATTTTGTTAAAAGTAGCATGCATATATTTTGGCCATCTGGACAAACTGTTTCTTACTGAAACCACCTTGCATTTGTATATTATGAACTTGGATATGTGGTTGGATTATATATCGTAACGATTATAGTTTTTTGTGAACCTTCTTTTATGTTATTGGAAAATATTTTGAATTTGATGTATGAAATTTACTATTTTTCTTTGTTATTTGAAAATTTATATGGTTTTCAATAGGTATAAATATGAGAAAAGTTCAACAAAGAAAGAAAGATTTGTTAAAGTTTTTTTTTTCTCTTGTCTATCCGGTTCAGTACCAAACACAGTATAAATAATACAATCATTAATCTAATACTGTACCAAACGCCCGACTAATTTAGTCAATACTATCCGGTGGCTATTTATCCTATCCGACAGAAATAATCAGTACAGTCCGAGCTGCCAAACGAGACCTAAATCTTCAATTTCTTTGTCACAGTGAAGTCCCCAACATCTTCAAAACCCTGAATAAAAGGCCCAGAATCCGGCCTGAGGAATTGGCAAATTAGCATAAACAATGCTATTATTTATCCAATCAAAGCCAAACTGAAATGGTGTAGAACTAACACTACAAAATTCGTCAAAGAAACTAAACAATGGGTAGAACGTTTCTAAGATTTATATTTTATACAAAAATAATCTTCTGACAAAGCAAAAATACAAATTAGAAAGGAGAAAATATATAAAATTTGAGTAAAAGGTCACAAACACATAAGTCATTGAATGGAGATTATTCGAACAGATTTTGTTAAGCAACCGCATGGATTATATATGCCAAAGATTAGATGATGGTACACGTCAAATGATATACTAACTGGAATCTTGAACTTCATGTGACTCAACTATATACAAAATACTCCGACATATAGTATATATTTACCAAACACAAATACAAAAGGGCACGTAAAAGAGTCTATGAATGTGATATAGCATACCAAGTTAGTAAAAATATCCTCCGACATGGCCAGCTCAAAAGAAAGAGATTCCTCGACTCACAATGTGTTATAGAGAAACAATTTCCTGCATATTTCAATATATCCCCTTGTCAATATATCCATTATATCCATGAATTACACTAATTCATAACCACTGAATTGTCATTGTAAAGGACCAGTGAATATTTGTTCTTTGTATGTGTGTAGATGTAGAGACTAGTCTAAAATTAAACATGCTCGAAATATTTGAGCTTTACCCAATTACCGACGAAACAAAGGGCTCAAAAATAGGATTTCAACTCAGATATGAACTCATATTTGAACTCGAATTAGATTGATGACTGCTACCTCTTTCTCTGAGCTCTAAGTTGGCAATTAAAGAAAATACTACAAATTTTGAGACACGCAATTCAAATTCTAAACAAAAGGCTAAACTTTCAAACATGCAATCCGAAATTAAGCTTTACCATTAATATTGAAAAATTTTAGTTGTGAAATAATAAACTATAATACATAAAAATAACTTGTTGAAGACCCACATCTATTTATTTCACCCAAAAAAATTGTGCGCAAAAAATTCCCTAAAATATCATGCCCTAACATTACAGGCAAAATTAATTGATGTGAAAATAACCTAAAAACTGAGAATTGGGTTTGGAGATATTACCAATGAAACAAAGGAGTACTGGACATACTTCTATGCTCCTCTTCCTCTTTCTCTAATTGAAGTTGAGTTCTCAGGTGAAGTGGTGTTAAAGTTAAAAAGAAGTGTAAAAAGTGAACAACTTTGCAAAAGAATACAATAATTTATGATGAAAATCTATATTACCAGTCGAAATTATATAGGGGAAAGAAACCGTACCAAATTTGAGGCACAAATGATCAAACTCTAAAGCCCTTCATTTCTGAGTTTTTTTTTTTTTTTCCAGCAACCAAATAAACTTTAAAAAGATACTGTAAAATCCAGAGCAAGCATTAAAGAAAGTCAACATTGTAGGGTACCAATGTCTGCCGTAATAAAAAAGAACAGATGTTTCCTAGCTATATTTCAGGGTAATCTAAAAATGTCTCCCTCCTCGATATGAACAATATATAGTACTAGCTTGTCATTAGTTTAACAATCTATAGGTTTTAGCAAACAATTAAAATCAGAACCTATGTGGAAAATGCTGAAAATTATGTGTAAACCACCACCGAGTTAAAATGACATTAAACTGAATGGAAATACTATTATGCCTTTAACAAATAGAAAACACTGCACTTGTGAATAAGATTCCATGTACAAAATTTATAAATTGAAAAAAAAAAGGAAATAACATTGGTATTGTTTGGGGAATTCAGAAGAAAAAAATCGAAAGGTATGAGTCTAGCCTGCTGTTGGTACCCTTAAAGGAAAAACAGTTAATTCGATAACCATTACGTTGAAAAAGAAGAAATTGTAATGAAATTGGGCTCTCCGCTCCTGGTCAGTAAATAGTACTATTCTGTCCTCCGGGGGACTCCACCAAGAGATTCTTTCTCAAAAAAGTCCGCCCCACCTCCCTTGAATGCAAATTACCTCCTTATCCAGATTAACCATTACGTTGAAAAAGAAGAAATTATAACGAAATTCTAAATCCAAGACATTAGAAAAATGTAATTCTTACCAGATTAACAAAGTTAACAACAAATCAAACAAAACTAAAAGCCTAAACCAAAACAGGAAAATAAATTAAATGCCAATGAAACAGTATAACATGTATGAGAAAGGCAGGGGTTTACAAACTCTGTTTGTTCCTTCAAACAGGCATAAAAGGGTGTCGAGTGTTGCCAATTACCCCACAATTGTAGATAATTATAACCATATTCTATTCTAAATCTAAAAAGTAGGTGTCAATCAAATTATTAAGTGAGCAAAACCAAAGGAAAAAAATGTTAAAGAAAGAGAAACATAAATTGCTCATCATGGATTTTGGAAAAGAAAAAAAAAATAATCGTTAGAAATATAGAATAAAGAGGTCACCTATTATTTTGCATATGAATCTTTGCAACTCAAACACATAGTTTTGATAATGTTTGCTTGTCTGCGATCTGCATAAAGACATTTTACCAAGAGTTATTAACTTTTTCCAACCTTTCGAACAAAATTATATTCTCTCACTGATATGAAATTAAATTGAAAGTAGAGCTCAAATAAAGTTTGAGGGGTTTAACAATATTTTCTCATCCATTTAAAGGGGTTTAACAATACGAAATTACATCAAACTTCAATCAAGTTGCATAATTAATCCATATAATCAATATGGATTCCGTAGGGAGCTAAGGGAGAAATATCAATTCAGGCTATATCTATCAAACATATCAACGAAAAATCTATGTCACTTCTTACTGGGTTGACTGTTACTGTTGCCGACCAGCTACGAAAGAAGTGATTGCTGCAAAATCAAGAGTATCTGCAAGATAGAAAAGAAAAAACAAAGGCAATAAGAAGCAAAAGTTAAATTATGAAAGAGAGAAAGAAATCGACTGATGAACATTGAGTTTGTCTGGAAATTCTTTCTAAATACTTGGAATTTAGAAGTTGTGAATCTTAATTAGGTTTCATGTCTTAGTCTTACATACTTTGTAATTTTTGTAGGACCCTGATAGTTGCTAATGTTGGGGATTGCCGAGTTGTGCTTGGTAATGGGTAGAGCAGCAAAGTTGTCAAAAGACCACAAACCAAATTGTAAACATGAAAGACTAAGAATTGAGAATCTTGGCGGTGTCATATATGACGGCTATCTCAATGGTTAATTAGTCATACACAGACTTCAAAACTCAAAACCTTAGGCACCCAGAATAAATATACCTGTATAGTCTCAGGAGAAGCCAACTGAAGAAGAAATTCTGGGTTTTGCATCATCTCCCTTAATTAAGAATTGGAATCGAGCATGTTGCGTTACTGGGGGTTGGAACCAAGAATTTGCAGTCAACTAGTGTTAAGAAAGAATAAATTTCATCCTCAAACTTATTTTATTAACAGAGATATTAAAAACAAATTCAAGGCTTGAAAATAAAATATAAAAAAAAAATTCAAAACAAATAAAGATTCTAACATTTCTTAAGAGCTATTCAGTAAAGGATCAAAAAATGATGCTGTCAAACAAATTTAAGAACATAAAGGGAACCAAATTTAACTTGAGTATTGCTTACCCACAGACCCAAACCAAATCCCCAAATATTACGCAACACAAAACCATAGAAATAACCAAATTGAAAATCAGTGCCACTGGGATCACCCACACGGTGACGAACTCCAACTACCAAATCCAAAACCCTTTTACATACGGGACCTGAAAACGAATACCCACCAAGAAAATCTCAGGGATAGGTGAGAATTTCCAAGAAAATTTCAAAATTTTCGGCAAAGATGGTGTTTTTTCAATTTGTTGGATGGCTTGAGGGTTTTTGGGATTTGTTAGGTTCAGGGTGAGATTAGTGTGGGAAGCAGACGGAAAAGTGTACTGGAAAATTACCCGAAGGAATAGAAGAGGGGAAAATGAAAGATTATGGTGCTTTCAGTAGAGAAGGAGAGTTAGGGGAAGAGCAACAGAAGGAGAGAAGACTGCGGAGTAAAAGAGAGAAGTGGAAACGGAAGGAAATGTCGAGAAGAATTGGAAGCAGAGCCTTCAACGATGATCCACGCGTGGGTATCCTAAAAGGGAAACGGTGAGCAACACGTGTAAAGGAGCGGCAAATTATTAAATCTGCTATGCAAAATACAAAAAAGTATAGGACATTTGGCAAATGAAGGGCAATTTCGTCATTCTACTGTGCCAAGGAGGGAAAACAACTGAGAACAGAGAAGCAAATAAGGGCATTTTCGTCCTTTCACTGTTTACGAACATTGAAAAGTAGTGCCGGCCGAACTGAGTTTTAGTATATGTATAATTTTCGTACATAGTTGAGAACTGACTGGGCTTCAGAGTTGAGACCGGCCAGATTATGAATAGACCTGGATCAGAAGTCTAGGCCCAACAAACATATGCGTACCGAAGTGTAGAAGAATAATCCCCTCCTTGCCTGGATTGTTATATTATGATAGAGAGGCAATCCCGACAAGCGAGCCGTTTTAGCTCAGCTGGTAGAGCGCGTGGCTTTTAACCACGTGGTCGTGGGTTCGATTCCCACAGACGGCGTATTATTCTTAATTTAATTTTTAATTTTTTCTGCCATTTTGCCCTAGACCAAGTACGAACTAGCGTACGAGTACGACTGAGAGAGAGAGAGAGAGAGAGAGAGAGAGATACTACGCTAGAAGAAAGGAGAGAGAATGTAAGCGGCTCAGTTCGTATGCGGCGAACCGCTTCATCTAATAGGTCCCTCAGTTTCCATTATCCTTTTTTATTCCCTTTTTCTTTTCTTTGTCAATATACGTAGCAAGTGGCATCGTCGACGTCAATCATCAAATCAAACCACCTGACCAAACAGGTTCAAACATTAGGTTAATGTTTGTAATGAGGATTCTCTTTGAATCTTCCAATTACGTCTATTGTATATCGTGCAGATAATTTTCACCAAGTAATATTTATATTCAATTTTAAATAAAAAAATTTACAATAATTTTTTATCACACGATGTACGATAAACATATATGATTGAAGGATCCACCGGATCCTTACAAAGAGGATCCTCATTGTTAATTAATCAACATTTTTCTTTCGTGATTCTGCTCTTTTGATTTAGACGTTGCGTTACAGTATACGTTTTTTTGTTTCATTTTTTCATCACTAACATGCTTCGAATATTTCACACCTCGCATGACTCCTAATTTTTTTATTTGGATTCAAACGTTGCAATACATTGTTGGTTTCTTGGTTATGTTTTTTACATTGGATTCAAATGCTGCATTGGGCTGTAAACTTGGTGCGATGATTCCACCACAACCCCACCTCCCTTTTTTAGAAAATTAGAATTAGTTGTCTCCTTTTAAACATTTTTAGATTAAACATTCATTCCTTTTTAACTTTAGATTTAGGTGCTTTAACTTTTGATTAAACCATCTATTTCACGTATATTCCTGATTTACATGCTTTTCAAATTTATTTTAAATTCTTCAAATAATATTTGTTTAATTTATTATCTTTATCCTTAATTTCCTCAATTTAAAAATTCAATAATATCCAAATAGATAAGAACCAAATTAATTGAGGACCCAGAGACTTAAATTATTAAGAATTTTCAATAGGATGATGTATGTAAATCGTTTCTAACTTGGTACAATCTTTACTACTGTAAGGGTTAATATTCTTTCTCATTCTCTATTTTCTTTGTTAGAATTGAACTATGATTCAAGTGAAATTAATCTACCATATTTCTTAACAAAAACATTAAAATGTACCATCACAACTTATTTTTAAATTAAAACGTACCTATGCCGAATTGAAAGTCTTCATAGTAAATTAAAATGTACCATTACTAAATTAAAATGTAACCATGCTGAATTAAAATGTACCCATGTTAAATCAAAGTGTACCGATGGATTTTAGGTACGTTTATGTTAAATGTACCAATATGCATGTTTTAGTAACTTCTATTTTATTGTTTGTATCTACATTTTATATGTATCTATTATGTATTTTCCAATTATTTATATTTCAGATTTTCATAATTTTATGAACTAATGACAATTTTTAAAATTGTAAATGCACAAATAATGAAAAGAAAACGAGATAATTTGCCAAAAGGAAATAATGTAAAATGAAATTAATAATCCCCAAATTTATAGGAGAATGTTTAATCAAAATTTTAAAAGAAATAGATGTTTTGTCTAAGTAATTAAAAAACAAGGCACTTATATCAAAATGTCCCTTTATTTTTTACCAGACGGACTCTCTTAATTGTTAGGTCCTACCACCTACGTTACTTTTAATCCATTTTACCGTTAAAACATGTCACGTGCCCCTTGTGGAAGAATATTTTTGTCGTTTATTGAAATGCAATATTTACCACCTTGGGGGTTGCCCAACAAATATGAACTTACTATCCTTCATCCCTCTCCACTTAATGCCAATATAGATTTCAGCAGTCAATTTTCAATTCAAATCTTCAACAACCCTTTGCCAAAATCAAACCCAAAATCAACTTCTCCCTTTCTCTTCATGACCTAACCAACACCACTACAAAAAAAAAAAAAAAAAAAAAAAAAACAAGGTCTTTATACAAATTGATTCTAGCGAGTCCTAGAAAGTGAATTGATGCATGAATAGAAGCCCAACACCTATCCACTAAGATTGGATAACGTACAGCTAATCAGAGCCTGGCTCACCTTGAGACAAGGTGGGTCAGCTTACCCCCTAAACTCAGAAATTCTTTGTGGAAAAACTAAGTGCTGCCTTTTGAAAATTTAAGCTGCCCTTGAAAGCTACCCTCCAACTATTAGAAGAATTGCCTCTAGGGGCACTGGATAGGATGTATGCTAGCATCATGCCTTTGTATGCTTTGTTACGGGCATCTTTCGATAGGCTTACTTGACATATGTTGACATATGTCGGCATGCTCGCTCAAAATCTATTGTCGACATGCTCCTGTTGGCATCTATCGACAGACGTGCAATATGACTTAGCAAATTACCTGAGGCCTACCAAGACTCGATAAAATACCAATTTTCATGCTATACCGTCCAAAAAGTTTTGTGTGCTATGCTCACTATTCTTATTGACCACTCGAATAATATTTCATGAATCCACGGCTGCAACTAATCCAATAGTGTTAAGCGGGACTTACGTACTCTATTCCTACCTAATTAACCGAATAATATTGTCCCAAATTTGATAAGGATCGTCCTAGCTAGTGATCGATTGTAAGGATCAAACTGTGCCATATGGCGTAGCACACAAGTCAAACATCCTTAAATGGATAAGCACTCGATGAATCTAAATTTGCATACAGCTAGCTAACAGCAATATAAAAACCAGAAACATACGTAAGTGGACCACACATAATGTTCCAATTTAAACACATCATTATCGACTTACTAAATTCCAACCGAGACCGTTGAGCAACAGCTGCTCTCATACCTAAAACATCTGGGCTCGATCAAGCAAGCTACATTTGCATGCGCAAACAGAATATGAGAATAATTAGCATGGTTATAGTTAAAAGATAAGGCCTACGAGGGATTAGGAGAGAGACCTGCGTTGCAATTTGTGTATATAGTTAACTATATATGCATGGTAAATAGAAACTCTTAATGTTACAAAATTCTACAATATTGACTCCTACTCCGTCCAAACTAACGAGTTAACTACTATGTTTTGGTGCAACAAGGTTATTGTATGTTTACATGCATGTTAGATTGGTATCACGTGAGTCATTTTTTCATCACTTCCAAGAAGTTATGTACTTTATTTAGAGAATATAGTGTTGATGTAAGTACTGAATGAATGCACTGATTGTCCCGTCAAAAAATAGTAGTTGACTTGATAGCTTAACAAACAGAAGAAGCATGAAAATGTAGTTGACTCGATAGTTGAACAGACAAAAGGGGCACTCAGTGTAATGTTGTGTAGTTATGAGTGCTAATTAATTCACTAACACGCATCTTGTTTTATTTATTTATTTTTTTAATGAAAGATATTATTTACATTAAGAAATGGGAGGTGGACTTAGCATTAAAATTGATTAGCAATAATGTAGTTCAAATTCGTATTTGACGAGAATCAAACATAAGACTTTCACTTACAAATGATAAGGAATACCATTAGACCATAATACTAAGTAGCAATACAATTGTTGTTAGAGGATGAATTTTTTATTCTTTTTCAATTGCCACTCTTCTCATAATTTTTGTAAGGTTATTATCCGACTCGAAATTCATCTAAAGAGAAACACAACTACTGTTTTAAACATAGACAGATCCACAAATGCATGTCTACGTGAGAACCATATTCCTTCACCGTACAACATGCATTCACGTAGATATATAGATTCTAAAGAAATTAAACCCATGCAAATCATCCCTATATATTCATATTCTCTATCCACAACCACATTATAAGGGGCGTTTTTGATATAAGTGCTTGAGTTTTCAACTCTATAGACTAAACATTTATTGGTTTTGGAGATTTAATTAAACATTTTTCTGTCTCATCTATCATAACTATCCTTTATTTGTACCAAAATTACAGATTTTACCACTGCCTAAATTCTTCACGTCAGGAAAAAAAATGCAGAGATATTGAAACAAATGTTCTACAATCTAGCTCTTTGATTCCCTCTAAAGATAATTATACAAAAAGAAAATGATTAGCTACAATTTAGTAAGGAATAAAATACCCTGCGGTTTGATTTTTTTTTTTTTTTTTTTTACTTTCAATGAAGAAATCAAATTAAGATATTTGTAGTAATCCATATATAAATTTTTGTAGTAATTTAGATAAGAAAATAACATCGAGAATAATACAAACATACCAATAAAAAATATATGTATGAAAACAAACCTACTAAAACCGGAAATAAACTTTCTAGTAAACAACGTTGAAGAACAAAAGTAAATGTACCAATCAACGATATGTATAATATTAATCATACCCATATGATACTAAATGGTACAATCCATAATGTATACAAAACCAATCGTAACAAAATTGTGAAAAAAAACCTATCAATCAATGAGAACAAAACTAAACATACCGGAAGCTAAAACTAAACGTACCGAAAGCTAAACAAAACAT